TTTTGATTGTTGTTGTAATTTTTGGTATATTAATTCAATCGTAATTGATATTTCATTCAATTCAATATTTGAATTACTGTTTTTCATCAGCATCATGCCCTTTCATCAACAAGAATACAATACTTTCGATGTATTTTTATATGCATACTGAAGTTTGGGAAGAATTGCTTCAGCTGCTAAACATTTGATCATTTGTGAACTGCAATTTTACATTGACCATTGATGATCAGACACATGGTAGAATACTGTTTGATTTTTTATCTATTTGATATGAAGGATTCACTAGACTTACTTGATCAAAGGACACGAGTCATTTCAGCTACTCTGCTACATGAATATCAATATTCGAATTGAAAGGCGTAAATATAGAATCATCATTCGTTGCACGAACTGGACGTTTAACACGAGCACGACTAGGTTATAAAAAAAAACAAAAGATCGATTGAAACATCACATCGATATTTGATCAACATTAGAAACTTCTTAGTTAATAAGTAGAAATATTTGTCTCATATGTTCTTTACTTGGTTGGTTTTTTCGTAACTCAAGTTAGCGATTCAATGTGATGTTATTCCACCCAAATCAGCAAACATACATATTTTTAATCAATACTTCTTAGTCCATAGCTTTCTCTATGAATTGTATTGACAATTACTTATCGAATCATGAAAAATTAGATCGAAAACAAATAATATCAAAAGGACATCATTTTGCGTGCTAAACTGATTTTATTTTCGTTTTACATAGAACTACTGTAATCAATCACAAAAAGGAATTCATCAATTATATCGATCTTGTCATGTCAATAGTTTTGTTCCTTTGGCACAAAGGAAACCATTAAAGCATCTTTTTCAAAATAGTAGTAATCGTATTTGTTTTTATTTGTAATGATTCGATATTAATAATAATATTGCAAATAAAATACGCAACCATTACTTTCAAAAAAGGACAAGTTTCTTTCTGATGAAATTAATAACTTATTCTGAACTATTTGGATTTCTTATATCAATTTCACTTAACTGTGATGGTGATGAAATACACTTTTGTTTAGAAGACTGTCGTGGTACGATTGTAGTAGAAATTACGAGAGGGATGATTGGTTTTTCGTTGCTATGCAAAAGATCCAGTTCACTAACAGAACTAATAATGATATGACATTTACTCTTTGATTTCAAGCTACAGTAAGATTTAGAAAGAATAATGATACATTCAATGTATATGAAGATATGAGCCAAACCTTATGAATATTCTTGTTGTCCTATTTTCTTTTCTTTAAGTCTAGCAATGATTTTGTGTTTATTATTTATATGAGCAGAAAGTGCATAAATAGCTGCATTTTCTTCGATCAGAAAACTATCAAGATGCAAATAAATCATTTAAAGAACAATGATGTTCAGTTTTTCTCTACCAATAAACTGCTTCAGTTGATATTGACTAGTTATTTTCAAACAATTCAGTAATAGTAACATGCGTAGCAAATGAATGTAAATGTCCCGGGATATTAAAAGATCCTCCAATACTAGAAGACTGCCCATATTATAAGACTTTTTACGACAAAATGTTCAAAAGTTGTATCAGGAGATCCCCTGTGTAAGATCATTTCGACTAGTATGATGACGAAATTTCATTCAGACAGTATGCTTTTCCATTGTTGAGTAATTTAATTTATGTAGGGAACTTTTCAGCAGTCAAGAACGTTCGCCTTCTTTTTGTCCTTACATACAGTCGTCTAAGCATCATTCAGAATAAGAATGCAAAAATTGATAATATTCTGTTTTGCTCTCCACCACTGCATGTGATAGACAATGGATCCTATTTGAAAACTCATTTATGATTCACGGATAGGACATTGCATTGTTGAAAAGAGAAAAGGATAGCTTTTGTGAGACTCACCCTCATATCTTCTTCTATTCGTGCAGATGTTCTGAGCCTATTAGACTATAAGGACCATCGCAATCTCAGTTTATCATTAGTGCGAATCATCACTAACGCTAACAGTTTGACCAATGCTACAACATAACATTTT